TTTGAACATGGGTGGTGCAAAAGTATTTGTAGCCTGCCATTCATTCTGTGAAATTTCCTCCACAGGGCTTTCTGACAGAGCTCTGAATAGTGCTGTTAATAAATCTTCAAAAATATTGGTGGAGATTTGTCAGATAACAACCCTTGAGATTAGGTCAGATGCCTCTATCCACATACACACACTGAGGCTGCTAAAGTTCCTGGCCTTTTGTCAAACATTATTTTGTTAAGATGACTAAAGTGTTTAAGATGATAAGGCACACACACACAAAAAAAAACCAAAAACAAAACAAAACAAAAAAAAAACCAGACCTTTCTTTATTCTCTCTTGTGAGAACAGAGGATCATCAAGGCATTCACATTGGGTACACACCATCAATTAAAGAGAGCATTTCTCCCCAAAACATACAGGTAGTGGAACTCAAGAGTGTTTAACCTCAAACACAAGACCTCACACAACCAAACAGTGGTTTTCTAAAGAGACTAATGTATGGACAGGTTTTAAGCTATGGTAGGATGGAAACTTGCCTCTTTTTAGTGGCCCTGTGTCATCTTAAGATAGCTTAACAATCCATTTAAGTTGTGAGTCTCAGTCATTTCCGATATTTTCCATTCTCCATCCTGTAGACTCTCATACCCCTGCCAGTCCTGCTTTCTCTGTTCTTTCCCCTTATATACACTGTTGTCACCTGTGCCATTGGAGGATCACCCTAAATCATAGAACCTTAGAGATCATCTAAGTCAGTATCTTCATTTTATGGGCAGGACAACTGCAGTGCGCAGACATTAAGTGACTTGCCCCAAATCACATAGATAATAACTAAGGGAGTTGGAATTTAAACCCATGTCTTCTAATTCCAAAATTACTGTTCTTCACTCTACACCATGCCCTTGAACTGGAAAAGAAGCCCAAGTGTGGGTAAGGACGATGGCAATCCAGAAACAAGTGAGCGCTAACCTTTGGATTTCTTATTTTTGGTCAAATCAGTCCCTAGTGGCTGCTGCTTTATTTCCTTCGTAACACTTCTATCTCAGTGTTCGCTGTACAGTTGTCTTTGAATTGTGGGCCCTGAACATATGCTGTTTACTGACTACAGTTCCCATTTGTTCATACAGTCTTCTTTACCAGACTTCAAGAAAGTTGTTCACCAACTGTGGCACATCCCCTTCCCACATTACTCTTGCCAGACTTCCTGTTCATATGTCTTCCTACCTTTTCTCCCTAGCCTTTGTAGAATTTCAGCAGGTTATAAGCTAAGTTAAGAAAAAAAAATATAGTCTTCTCCTTTATGTACAGAGCTGTGACTGAATACTGATAAAATACTACTAATACTGATAATAAAATACTGATAAAATAATACTAATAAAATCTATCCCAATAATTTCCAAAGACTATTTTAGCCTATCACCATATGAAAAGAAGGTTCATGAAATAATCATAGAATCTTAAAGCTGAAAGGTACCTTAGAGATCATTTCATTCAAATTTCTCTTAGAATATGTGCAACTCATGTTCCTGAACCAAAGCCTTGGATTTACACAACCCAGATACAGTTTTGAGGGCTTCTCATAAATCATATCTCTTTGGCTAATACACTACCTACGATGTTCCCTGGGAATATAAGATTATAGCTCATATCTATGTCTCTAACAGAGTTAGGCAAAATGGCCTTCATTTCATATCCAAACACTCAGGCCAACAATACATCAAATATATCACAGGTTTTATTTCAACTGTCAAAAAAATCCTATAAAGCCCATAAAGAGTCAAGCCAAATCTTCCCTCTTTGGTGAGTCTCCATTTTTCTTAAAGATCTTGACAATCTTCTAGACTTATATCACCCAAGGGTTGAAAATCTCTTGAAAATGAAATGCATTTGCGTTTGAGAGAGAGTTGACCCCTCACCCTCCAGCAAGGCCCACCTCCCCCATATTCTAGCCCACCTTCTGTTTTTGTATGGCTCATGATCTACAAATCTTTTTTTTTTTGCATTTTTAAAATAATTTTAATAAAAAATTAAAATATTTACATAAAAATGTAAAAACCAGTCTTAGCTCACATGGCATGCAAAAAGAGGCAGTAGGCTGCATTGACATCCAGGCTATAGTTTGCCAACACCTCTCTAGACTTATAGGACTTAACCTTGTAGTTGGGATGACCCTCCAAAAACAAAAGCATTTGGAATACTAGAGGATTAATTCCCTTACCCCCAGACCTATTTAGTCTCTCTAACTCTCACTATTAATGATGGGCAAGCATGCTGTCGCCCTCTCTCTCTCTCTCTCACTACTCCTCTGCTCCAACTCCAATTTGGTCCTAGAATGTCTCTACTTGGCCCAAGAACTTTCCGTTGTTTTTCTAGGTGGCTTGGTTCAGGGACTCAGCATTATCCAGGGTCATCTTCTCTTTATTCAGGAAAGGCTTGGTCTTCAACTTCCTTCATCTATCCAGGAATTTGTCCATAGTTTTGCTACTGCCTCTGGTGTGGCCATCTCTGTAGCCATTTGGTTCCTCCTTTCTTGAGGCCATGTGGTTACCTGAAATGTTCTGTAAATAAACAGGTTTCCTTTCCAGGAAAAAAATGTCTGTCTCTGTAACGCCTTCTCCTATCTGAGGTCTTGTTCTTTCATCCATTTTATCTTTGTGTCTGTTTTTTCCCCTTTAAAGACTAACTCCAAGGGTGTGACAAAGTATGACAAGCCATATTTCAATCAATCATCTTCAATGTGGTTTCAATAAAACTGGTTAATATTAGTGCCTGGGCCAAGAGTATTAGTTCACACTCCAATAAGGAGGTATTATCCATTTCACATTGATGTCAGCTGGAGATATCTTTATTTTCTATAGGGAAATGTCTCCAATTCTAAGACAAAGTAATTCCTTTAACCTCATTAACCCTGACCAGATTTCTTCTGGTCACACTGTGGAATGTGGAAACTGAAGCCCATAGGGGTTAAGTAGATTCTGCAACATCACACAACCAGTTATCCATGAATACAACTGAGACTAGGACCCAGTTCTTCTAATTCTCAGAGCAATTCTCTTTCTACTCACCATGCTTTGTTTCCCTTTTTAATACAGCTTGATTCCATAATTTGATTTCAACTAAATTTTATTAAAGATTAAAAGTTGCAGTCTGATCACCAAATCCACAGAGGTGCAGTATGTATCTGAAAACCTTCCCAAATATATTTCAGAGTAATTGTTTTCAATCTGTGCCACCACCATCAGGCATTTATGAAGTTGATTTTTTTTGAACCTAAGTGATAAACTTTACATTTATTCTGATTAAATTTCATTCAATTAGATGATGGCATCTTACTCTGTATCCTTTTTTAGGTCAAAACTCATTTCATATTTAAAAGGACCCCTTATTCTTCCAAACTTTGTGTCATTTGCAAATATGAGAAGAATGCTATATTTGCCTCCGATGAAGCTATTAATAAGAGTGTTTAATGGCCCAGAATCAAGGAAGGGCAGATGCCTAGATTACTCTGCTAGACACTTCTATCTAACTTCCCATTAGATTTTGATTCATTAGATTCTTTGAACCCAATCTTTCAGTTACAAATTCACCTAACTGTACTGTTGCTTAGCACACATCTTTCCATTTTATCCATAAGAATGGCATGACAGATTTTATCAAATGCTTTGTTAAAATCTAAGAATTCAAAAATCCACAGGATTATAGATGGATCTATCAACATAGATACCCTGGTTAAACTGTCACGATCTATTTTTCAAGCCTTTTAGAAGCTTTTAGTAATCACTGATTTCCATTTAATTATTCAAAACCATTTTCCTATGTTCCAGAATATTTACAAACAAGCTCACTCATCTGCAGTTTTCAGATTCTACCCTCTTGGCTTTTATGAAAATTTTCCCTTGTCTAGTCCTATGGTATCTCTTTTTTTCAAAATCTTTGCAGTTCCTTTCCTTAAAGAAAGAGATTTATTTTTATCTTAGTGTCCTCAGAACCCAGTGGTCCTCTTTGAGAATGAAGGATGAACAACAACATAGTGCCTTGCTTAGAGTAGGCATCTAAGAAATGCTTATTGAGTTGAAAATCACCAACAGCAATTTAGCAAGCATATCTTTGAGCTCCTTCAGTTCCCAAAGATCTAGTTCATCGGAGCTTGTTCACTTGAATTCATTGAGGGTAACTTGATGCTGCATGACCTTACTTATCGTGGCTAGCCACTCACCATAACTATATTATTTCTCTCTTTTTCAGTCCAAAGTTCATGCAAAAGAACCCAGAAACAATATGAGAATTGAGAGCAGCTCTCTCCAAACCCACACTTCAAAAATTGATTCCCTCCAGACTTGTATGCCTGCCTGGCAACAAGATGACTACTTCATAGTCTAATTAAAACTGAAAATAATAAAAGCTAGGATTTTTTCAACTTTTCTTCCTGACCATCCATAAAACAACACTTCTTCCTAATTTCTCAATAATAAACAATATCACCCTTCCCATTACCTCAAAGGAATCTAATTTCATTTTTTTAAAGTCTCTTAATTTTTTTACCACTTACTTTTTTGAGTCTTTATCACCAAGCTATCTGCGACTTCACTTGTACTTATTCTTATTGTGGAATGGGTTTCTCAATCCATAGAGCATATCTTCATTAGTTGAGAATGTTTTTTTTTTGTTTGCTCATATTTCCAACATCAGTTTCTGAATTGTGCTTTTGTGCTAGGAGCAAATTCTGTCCCTTTCCATATTCTCTAATGGGGTAAGCAAGCCCTGTAGTGTATATGCTGCTACAGTTCTGGATGGGGTAGCTGGGGCTAGACGCTTTCTCGTTTCCTCTCCTAGTATCACAGTTGTATTAGATTGTGAACTTCCTGAAGAGAGATTCTGCCTTTTCCCTCTCTTTTTTTTTAAGCCCCAGTACAAGTGGTATGCTAAAGTTTTAGTTAAAAATTTCTATTTAAGGTGAAACAAGAACTTTTCCCCACCAAAAGCAAAAAAGTCTCTGAGCATTGTGCACTTACCCCCAGTAACAATGACATTTGCTTTTATACAGTAAACAAAAGTATTTGCTCCTCTTGGCATAGAAAATTCTCTGACTGGCCTGCAAAACATGAGAATAGGTATAAAATGTTATTGTACATTTTTTCAAACAGACAGCACCCAATTTATAAATAGGTTGTACTTTATAAGACAATGTATCTGTCGGTTGTGTTTGGGACTCAGATCACATTCTTCCAGAAGAACAAAGTTATAGTGGTTAGGCAGTGTAATCTAGCCCTCAGAAATCTACTAAGTCCATGATGTAGTTAAGGTACAGTAACCGGTATCAGAAAAATATGATATTGGGTGAAATGAAACATCATTAGAGGGTACAGTTAGGTCCATGGGGACAATATCATTAATGCTATGGTAAACAGACTGATGCTTAGGAGAATTAACATTGCTAGGGCTAAAGTACTGCTAGCTCAGATTGTTACTAACCATTCAATTTCCATCTTGGGCCATCAACAGAGTGTTACAATGGACTTTGGTAACATTCTGAAAGTGTTTAATTATTGTGCATTAATCACATTATCATTATAATGCTGGTTTGAACAACATTACTGAGGAAAGCCTGTTGTTTCCAATTGTTTCTATGGGAGAAAAGACCCCACTAGATTCTGGGAATACGCTATATTTCTGCCAACTGAAACCCTACTTCTTGGAACTCTTAGCCTCCTCCTTCTTCTTCTTCCCAGCTTCCTCCTCCCTCTACTGTGTTGGTGAGTAGATGATTTTTTTCCTTCACTTCTTTGTCTTTAGATATGACACATGTTAAATGTGTCAAATCTTCATAAGATCACTCCGAAAAAAAAAAAGAACTAAGAAGAAAATAAAAATTTGCTTAAGCAAACTTGTGTTCTTACTAATAGGGTACATACTAATGGAAAGGCTTTTACCCACATATCCTTCACCAAAAACAGTGGGTTAAACTCTGCGTTGCTTCCCTTCTTTAATTTTTCTAATTCTTATTACTATTATTTAATGGTATGACCTTTTGACACTTAGATTTTCTATTATGGGAAACATTGCTAGATAATTATGCATCAGGTAAGTTGTAAAGATGAGTCCTATTTTAGGTGGAACATTGGAACGTATGGACTGCATTCTTGAGAATGAGCCAGTATGGAATTTTTTAGTTCCTTCAATTCCAGTCCTAGCCACATAAGCATTAATTTCTGCTCTCTCAATGGATGTGTGTTGGTAGCGACGGGAAGGGAATACATGACTCTAAATACAGATGTGGATATAGTCCCTCCCTTGTCTACTTCCTTTAAGCATACAGGATGGGTAGACTCCAGAGGGAACTCTAGTAATAGCAGTTGGGAAATGAGAATCAGGGCATTTGGGAGTCACCAAGGTCTAATGGAATGGACCAGTAGGGAGAAGACCTGAAATCTAAATCTTGGTGTAGCCACTGACCAGTTATGTGATCTTAAGTCACTTAACCTCATAGAGTGTTAGTTTCCTCATCTGTAAAATAAAGATGTTAGACTACATGACCTTTTTAAGGTCCTTTCCAGCGCTAACATTTTAAGATTCTTATGGGAGTGACACTGAAAGGGATCAGGGTTGCAGTTCCTCAGAAATAGGGAGAAATTTCAGGGGAAAACACTTCAATGGCAGGGATTAAGGGTCCCAGGAGGCAGTGATTCCAAGAAAAGCAGAGGGAAAGGGAAGTGCTTTAAAAAATAAAAGTGGGTTTCCTCTAGTATAAAAGAATCATAGTGATGTGTAGAGTACTGGAGTTGGAGTTGAGAAGAACCAGAATCGTATGCTACCTCAGGTGTGTGTGTGTGTGTGTTGGGGTGGGAGGGAGTGCATAGCACTTTACTAAGCCTCAGAGAAGGAGCTCAGCATCCATCTGGGGCCAGTTCTATCCCCCTTAAAGTTACTTGGTGAATTATGAAATTGCCTACCAGGGAGGAGGCTGAAATGCTTTGAAATCCAGCCCCCAAGGAAACCACCATCAGAGAGGAGAGAGAAAGTGCACAATAGGGGAAAATAAGGGGGGAAAAAAGACTAAAATTACTAAAGATGTCAGGAAAAAGAAAACTCAAAGACCTTGAACATAAACAGATAAATCAACAGGGAAAACATTAACAGCAGAAGGAAATATGGCTTCCAGATCTATTAAATTAATTCAGATATCTATAAATAAATACTACATAATAAAGAAAATGATCCAACACTTGGTGAAACAGAGGACCCTATGGAATTCAAGAAAAACATAGAAATGCAACTTGCTGTTCTTGAGTGATTTAAAAGAGAAAAGAAATTATGAGAGCTGAATTTATGATTTGCACAGCAAAAATAATTGGCAGAATAGAAAAAACTTGAATCTATGATGGCAAATCTCACTAGAGAAACAAAACAAAACAATTGATTGGGAATGCAAATACAGAGAAGTAGAGGAAACTCTAAAATGAGAGAAGTAAAAAACAATAACATTAAAAGAAAATGTGTTCTTTATCCAAGCTGATCCTAAAGACAGGATATATAGAGACAATTTAAGGATCATAGGTCTTCCAGAAGAATACAAGTCAAAAAGCTTATACACTATAATGCAAGAAATAATATAAGAAAACTGCCCAGAACTTCTGAACACAGAAATTAAATACCAATGGAAAGAATTAATAGATCTCAAAAACAAACAAACAAAAACCTTTCAGGCTATAAACTCCGAGACACATAGTGATTACATTGAAAAATTCAATCCAGAAACAAGTTCTGCAAGGAATCAGGAGAAATAACTTTAAATACAAAGGAAAGGAAATTGAGACAACAAAAGACTATTCTATACCCACAAGAAAACACAGAGGAGTATGGAATAATGTATTTGGAAGAACAATGGAGCTCAGGATGAAGCCTAGGTAACCTACCCTGAAAAACTGAATGCTGAGAAATGATAATGACCTAGGTTGACCCCAAAGAGGAGATAGGAGATGACGTCAAATCCTCTACCTCCATTTCTGGCCTGACTTCTTTACAGAGTGGGGTACCATAGTTGTGGAACACTGCATATAACATTTTTAGAATATTGTTTAATTTTGCAGAATTTTTTTTTCTTTCTTCCTTTTGATTATAAGGGATGGCTTTCTGGAAGAAGGTGTAGAAAGAAATACAACTGGAAATAGCTTTTGTTTTTACATCATCAAAAGTTAGTTGGAGTCAGATTTGTACCACCTTAAATCTCATGATAAGAGATGCAAGCATCATTCAGCACTTAGTGCAGTGCCTAGCACATGGTAGGGTACTTAATAAATGCTTATTGACCGACTGACAAGCCTATTGACTGCTATTATTTACTAAGCAGTGTGACATAGTCAAATTGTGAATTAATAAAGAATTTTGAAAAGTCAAAGAGAATGGAAGATTGAGAAATGGCCTGAAGAGATCATTGGTAACTTAGAAGGGAAAAGATGATCTAATATTTAACATGGTGTTCTATACACAGTATGTTCTTAATATTTTTTAAAAAATGAATGGAATTGAAAGTAATTGATGATTAATCGGGGAGTGGGTTCTAGATTGGCTTGGAGGAGAAATGGGATGGAGGTGGGACAGCTGCTTAGGATGCTTTGGCAGTTTAGCTAAGAGGTAACAAGTAAATTGAACCTAAACCATTAGAGTCCAGTGAATGGGGTAAATTAATGCTTCTTGTCCCCGGGTGAGATTTCCATCTGTTGCCTACACTTGTGCCCGGCTTGTAGGGTAGGAGGGATACAACAGAATGTAAAAGCATGATACCCAAACCAACTAAGAAAGGTTTCTAGTGGTTCTATCTCTTTTCATCTAATATTTAGCATAATCCTTTCTAGTTGAGTAATGCTCAAATTTAACCAGTACTCAGAGGCTTACTCCTTGGGAGCTGGCCAGATCCTCAAGGGTTAGACATTGAAAGTAGTGTAATAGACAACAAGCCTACAACTGCTGTATGCTGCTTAATTCATTGCAGATGTTCATTCCCTTGCTGGTTGTTTTTACAATTACAATTGTAAAAATACAATACAAAATTGTAATTATAGCAGAGATAATTTCTAAAATGGTAATTTAAAAAAAATTCACCCCTTCTTTTAGGAGATAGGTTGACTTAATTTTAACAACTGGCTAATTGTGTATTTGTATAACTGCAATTTTATCTGGCTCAATTTAAAGCTTATTATGGTGGAATAGCAGAAATAAAATTATGTTGAATCTAAGGATGAAATGACCCTACTTTTCTACTATTTAGACGCATATCAAATTGTGTTGGGTGGGTTTTTTGGTTTTTTGGCAGGGGATAGGGGGGAGAGGAAGTTGGTGGAATAAAACCTCACTGTACACTCGAGGATACATTTCACCAGCTAGATCATAGAAAGAGCTGCTAACAGAGGTGATACAGAGAAGTAGGTGAGTCACATATTTAGAGTCTTGGCTGAATGCTGAGATTGCTTAGCACTCTATCAGTTTGTAGATTCTCAACCATTGGCTCAGTACATCTTTGCCCAGCTCTCAAGTGGTACAAAACAAAACCCAAAAAACTAAAATTTAATAACCAAAGAATAGAGGTAAACTTCTAACTAGGCCAAGAGCAACAGCCTATTCAAGAAGTTTTAAAACAATGCCCATAAAATAAAGGTCCATTGACTGACTGGCTTGGAAACCAAAATCACTTTATGTTCCTAGAAATACTGAAGACCAGAGATTTAATGGAAGTGGGGATGAAATGGTTAAAGCAGCCTCCTTCACTCTAACTCTTGTTTGTTATTCATTGCCCTTTGTGCTTTCCTCAGTAAGGAAGAATCGCACAGTTAGACTTCAACTAGGTAAATAAATGCTTTTTGTGCAAATGGATATTTTTTTTAACATCAGAGGATTTAGTTCAAGTATGTATTCTATACAAGGGCAGTGTCTTATAGAGCTTTTGAAACTTCTGATAATGTTCTGTAAACACCTTTTATTGAATTAGCACAAACTTCAAAGAGGTATGCAGTGCCTATGATTGCCGAGTTGGTTTCTTCTGACCCCTTTGCTCTGAGAAATTCTTTTTTTTTTCTAGAAAATCTTGGGTGATATATA